GGGGGGGGGGGGGCTGTGAACATGCTCAGGTGAATGTCATTAGCCACTGTCTTGGCTCTTAAACAGCTTAGCTATATTTATGTATAAATTATTTAATTTATAGCCTTGTTGGACCATGAGAAATACATGACAGGAAGTATAAGGAGCACTGATCGCTAATCTACAACAATCTAAGGCTGAGGGAGAAATGATAATTTTGCAAATTTACCTCAAGGTGATGGAAAAGAATGTTCCAGTCTTCTAATCAAAAGTCGTTTAGTCACTAATACGTCAAAAGCCAATGTTTAAAAAAATTAATCTAGTGATAATTCCATCTACCAGAAAGGCAGACCTATTGTATCTACAATGTTATTTGTGGAGAAGTACTTCCAAAATAGATATAAAATCTTTTATTTCACATTTCAGAAATAAAACTAAAAAAAAAAAATTTTACTTTTTAAAAATTGTAGCACAAAAGGGAATTATATCAGGAAAGCAATTTTTGATCCTGTGGTTAAATTTCAATGTATATTTGGTCCCCAAATTTGATATACAGTTTTGTTTGTTAAGAAATCATCCTTTTTTCTCAATTAATTCAAGATCAGCATGCATTTCTTAAATGGGGAAGAGGGTTTTGTAACTCATCAATTAAATATGTTTAAATGTCCTTCAATTAACAATATACTGTTACACTTTATTTTTCTTCTTTCAGACAATTCTAAGGCTGAAGTAACATCTTGGGGACAGCTCAATGTAGCGGCTCAGAGACCGGGAAAAGGCGAGAGGACTATAGTTTTAATTGGTTTGACCAGGTGGATGGGATGTCGTTAAACAGAGAACATGGAGATTGAGTATGAGGTACCTTCATGGCTTCCAAGTGAAAATGTTACAAGGACCAGAAACACCGTTTTGATCTGAGCAGAGAGATCAGAACCAGAGAAATTACTGTGTGAGCTGGTACTTCTGTCAGAATATCTAATACGCTTCACTATCATAGTCTGTATTAAACTGGCTCTACTGCTAGTCAGTATGCTTCCTGTGGCAGGAACCATGTGGCTCTTGCTCGCTTTTGTTTTTCTGGCATCTAGCACAGTGCACAGCATATAGTAAGATCCCAATGCATGTTTTTTAAAAAGTTACTGCTTTATCATATGCCGTGCAAAAATAATGGAAGTTTTAAATCACTAAGGGAGTTCTCAAGAGAGCATATTACTGTGAAAGGAGGTTGGGCATCAGAAAATGTTGGGAAGCCCTGGCCTGAGTAACCTCTAAGACCTCGGTAGGCTCTGTGACTCTAAATCAAGAACTTGCTCTGTAGGACCAGCAGTGGCTGTCTGTGGAGCTCATATCATTCTAGAACAAACAATGGAATCCACCCTGGTGGTGGTTTAAAAATACGTGTACAAGCTCTTTGATACTTCTGCCTCCAACAAGTAGTGTCTCCTTCCCCTCTTTGAACATAGGCGGGCCTTAGTGACTCATTTCTAAAGGCTAGAATGTGGCGAAGGTGATACTGAGTGGCTTCTTAGGCTTGTCATAAAAGAAGACAGGGCTCCCACCTGGCTTTCTCTGGAGGACATGTGACTTTGGAGCCCTGAGCCGCCACGTGGGAAGTCTGGCCACCTTGAGGCTGCCTTACTGGAGAGACCATGCGAGGAGATCACGTGGAGATAGAGATGCCGGTGGAGGCCCAGCCGTTCCCTTGGGAAGTGCCGCCTCCCCGACGTCCGGCCCCGCCACTCTGACCCTGACCACATAGGAGGCCCTGCACCCAGCTCACCCAGCACTGTGCGCGACAGTTATAACCAATGGTGGCGGTGGTTTTACACCGCTGCGTTTGGGGTGGTTTGTACTAGATACCCAGAACAACTGCTGGAGTCTTTACTGGGCCGGGTTCACTATTAGAACCACTCACTGCCTCCCCCATTCATCCTCCTGTAAGGAAGATGCAAAAAAAAGGTATGTTTACAATATCTTCACCCTTCATATTCCAAACTCTCCCTCACACTGCGCCTCGGCTCGAACCCTCCGAGCCAGTGGGGTGGGCCTCCTATCACCCTGGGATGCCTGCCCACCCCTTTAATATCATCAGATTGCTAACCAACTTGTGGAATTAGGGGATATTTTAATTTTCTTCTTTGTGCTTTTCTATGTTTTTTCCAAATTATCTATAGTGAACACATCATTATTATTATTATTATTATTTAAATATGTCTTTATTGATTTCAGAGAGAGGAAGGGAGAGGGGGAGAGAGATAGAAACATCAACGATAGAGAATCATTGATCGGCTGCCTCCTGCATGGCCCCACCGGGGACCCAGCCTGCAACCCCGGCATGTGCCCAGACTCGGAATCGAACTGTGATCTCCGGGATCCTAGGTCGATGCTCAACTTCTGAGCCACTCTGGCCGGGCGACACATATTATTTTTGTAATCGGAAATAGTAAATGGAACCGAGGGGAAAAATTACAATCTTCAGTTTGGGTAGATGAGAAAGTTCTGGAAATAGTGGTGATGGCTGCACAAGTGTGAGTGTGCTTAATGCCACTGAACTGTATGCTTAAAAATGGCTAAAATGATAAATTTTATGCTATGTATATTTTACCACAATAAAAAGAACATATATAATCCCTTAAAACTCAAATCCCAGCTCCTTCAAGGTGATCATCTATCCAGTCCTTACCCATCTGTCTGTACCACTCAGAGGCACTGGATTATTTCTGCCTCATACAGCAATTTCTTCATTTACGTAATTTGTTTCAGCCTTGTGTCTCAGATCACATTGGAAACTCCTTGAGGGCAGAAACTGGCATTATACAGGTGGTCATGCCTACAGTATGCTTAAAAATCAATTGCCTGGAAAGCAAAACACGTTTCCCTAAAGAATCAACAACCACAAAGGGTGGCTATGTTCTCAGACCACCCAATCAAAACCAGCTCCACTCACTAAGTATCTAAAAAGTTGTATGTTGGCAATGAAAATATATGGCAGAAAAACATTGGAAATAGTAGCAATTAAAACAAAAAAGCAATGGAAAGGTTGAGAAGTTTGGGATTGAATTAGTAACAAATACATACACTGGAAAAAAGATAATTATTAACTAGGTAAAACAAAGTTCTGCATGAATAAAGATGGTTCAGTTTATTACATGACTCATCTCTGAATACATTTACATAGTCAAAATGATGTAAACACTGAGTATGGTCTAAGTGAAATTACAATAGAACTCTGTTGAAAAGATGAGGGAGCTGGGACGTGTGTGTGTTCGGTGGAAATGGGAAACTCGAATCTTTCATAGTGGGATACCACTAAATAATGCATAAAAACTGGAAAAAAATCACAGGATAACATTACAAACATGCTATTTAGAGATTTTAGAATTTGACCCCTTAAGCTATGTCCCTGTGTAACCATGATAAATTAAAACTTAAAAAAAAAATAAAATGATGCAGGTCACTGTTGTTCACACTGACACATCCGGCCCCGAACCGTCCTTCCTCATCGGCTCTCCAGGCCGACAGTGTTCCACTTCCCATCACCTCCTTGCTGCTCCCAACAGCTAGCTCCTGCCTGGAACCATGGGTCCTAACAGCCACCTCTGCTTCAGGCCAGGCTGCCCAGCAAGCCCGGGAGTCACATGGCTCCTTGCTGGTCCCGTTTATGAGGGCCCCTGTACAGACACCGGCACAGTGGGTTGTGTGACCTGTTCTCACCCGGGGTCTCTGATGCTCTGCCCTCAGCTGGACACACTGATCAGGATGCGCGCAGCACCTTCAGCAGAACCGAAAGGTGGGTGGTGTAGGTCACACTGTCCACCCCTCTTTGGAAACTGCACCCTCTCCTGCAGGAGGCCAGGGTCCTCCCCTTAGGCCTGTCCTGCCCGAAAGCCTTCTCCCTCCTCAGTTTCCCCATCAAAATATGTCTATTCCATGGCCCACCCTCTCTTCTGGCCTCTCAGGCAAACTAAACCAGTGGAGGTGAAGCAAGCAGAGCCGGGGGCAGGTGCGTAAGGTCCTTCACACTCCATTCCCAGCACCCGCACCTTTTCCTGTTATTGCCCCCAACCCCCTCTCAGGTTTCTGCCTCCCAGTGTGCCAGTTCCCCCCTTACTCCTTTATGTCTGTGTGTAAAGTATTCCCTTTGCCTGAATGACTTCCTTCCACCTGAGGAAACTCACTCCTTAACACCTCATTCAAATGCCACCTCCTTTGAGCAGCCTTCCCTGACCATCCTGTTTTCACTGCCCAGAGAAAATAATAGCTCATATTTGTTGAGTGTTGTGTGCCAGATACTAGGAGCTTTGCAAGTGTTTTCTCATATCAAAGCTCACAGCAACTCCATGAAATATTACAATCATTAACTCTAGGTTATAGAAGAGGAAGCTGGAGCACAGAGAGGTTAAATAACTTGCCCAAGGTCACACAGTAGGAAGTGGTTCAGTGGGAGATAGGACTGCAGGCTCTCTGGGTCAAAGCCCACACTCCTTCCTAACTGCTGTCCTGCTCTGCCTCCTGGGGGCTCACACAGCACTCAACATCTCTCTTTGCACTGACCCTCTTGTTTACATATCCATCTCCACTTCTGGATTGAGAACCCTTTGAGAGTAGAGAATGTGTCTGACTCCTCTGAGCATCCTTATATCCCTGGATCCCTCAGCATAAACCGGGCCCATGGCAGCTGCTCAGTTTGTGTTGCTTGCTAATGGATGAGTGAAGCCAGGGTTAGCATTCTACTTCTGCACTCTGACCTCTCTGAGCTCTAATTTCTTTCTGGGATGGGAGACACAGGAGGAACCATAATACTATCTAACCAATGTCTCCTAGCTTGTTGTGAAGATCAAATTGAACATGATGCTGTTATAAGGAAATATTCTCTAGGTGGTGGGACACTCACCATTCAAATGTTAGCGGTTGGGATTCAGAGGGAAATGTGTCACCTGCTCAAAGGTAAAGCATGCTGTCCCTAACAAGGGCCTTACAGTTAATAACACCTTTATCCTAATAAAGTGCAACACTGGAAAATCAGCCGTTGGTCAGGCAGGTGGGAAGTATCTGAAGCCAAGCCAGAGTCTAGTCACCCCCATGGGAAGAAGGTTTCTGTACCCACCCTTCTTGCTGATGTCCCAGAACCTGCTGTTCTCCCAAGATCCCTGGGCTGAGTCATGTTCCCCTTCCAACCCAGCATCTATCTTCTCCCCAGAGCTTGGGCCTGACAGCTCAGGTCCTGGACAGCAGACGGTTCCCATTGGCAGTCTTCACTCCTTAGAGGGGATGGGGTCAGATCTACAGCAGAAGTGCCAACTTGAACGTCATAAGTCACTTCCAAGCCCCCATCCCATGCGAGGCCTGTGCCTGGCACTTTGGCCTCACTGCATCCCTGAAGGAAGTGTTAGAACGCCACTTTAGGGTCCAAGGTTAGAGAAGCAAAGGGCTTGCTCAAGATCACAACTGCTGGACTTGAACCCATCTATCAGATTACAAATCCTCTAGTCTTTCCCATGCTCCCCCTTCTTTCTCTGGGCAAGCTCAGGGAGAGTCCTATCCAAGACCCACCCAGTACATGCTTTCTCAGCATGATCTCAGTCCCTGAAGGAACTCAGATTTCAGGCAAATACCGTATATCCTTGATTCTAAGATACATTCTTATTTTCATTTTTATATTTCTTCTATCAGTATCTTACAAACAGTAACATCTTAGATTTTAGGAAATTTAGTAGGTGTGCTAGAGACTGCATTTAAGGGTCTCTGTTCAGCTACTAACTAGTTTTGTGCCTTTGGGGAAGTCACTTTATCCGCCTATGTCACAGGGAGTTTACTCAGCCTGACTTTTGGGAACAGCTCTGCCACTTCACAGTTGTATGGCTTTGTAGTCTTCTCTGGGCCCCAGTGTCCCCATCTGATGGGAAGGGTCACTGATATATTTGAGGGGCCACCTTTTCTTTGAAGCTGCAGAACATGTGCCCCCAATCGTACAGAAGTAAACAGCTGAGGCTGCTCTGGGTGAAGTAAGAGCTGGGGGGGCCTGGAACCCTGTGGTTTCCTGGCAGCAGTCTCAGCTCCCTCGCTTTGGCAAATGCCTCTGCTGAGGTCTGGTTTGGGAGAACATTGCTCTGGGAGGTAAAGACAGCTAGAAGACCTGGGCTCAAGCATGGACTCTCTTTAAACAGCTGGGATGGCTACGGTATAATCACTTCCTGGCTGTGGGCCTTAGCTTCTCATTTGTAAAGCAAAGCAGCAGATGACATGATTTCTAAGAATCTGCTCTGGCTCTTTACTCTGGTTGCACATTAGGATCACCTAGGGAGCTAATAAAAAAAAATTTAAAAGATGGCAGACCTACTCCCTCCTACCTCCTATCCTACCCCCTACCCCATGTTGATTAATTGATCCCAGGAGGGACTCCGACATCAACATTTTTTAAAGCTCCCCTGGCAACTATGATAGCAACCGGGGTTGAGAAGCACCATTCCTCTAGACCTGAAGCTTCAAAGAAAAAAATTCCAATGCCAGTTCAAAGGAGTCCTAAAAGCTTAAATTAGGGA